GGGGGGGGCGGGGATCTGGCGAATCCGCCGGGCGGATGCCATTGTGGGCGTTTCGGCGAAGGATTGGCCATATGCCAACGGTTTCTGGGCACCTATCACGCGACTAGGTGCCCCCGGGCGCGGCGCCCATCCTGGAGATCTAACTGGATTTCTGGCTTCGTGGCCGGGGCGCGGGGCTGGGTCGGGGGGGGCGCCCAGACGGGGAGAGAGAGAGAGAGCCACAACAGTGGCCAGTACAGGCGGCCCACCGGAGACGGAGCCGCCTTCCTAGGGCTGTTGGTGGCCGCAGCAGGGAGGGGAGGGCGTGCAAGGCGCGGGGCAGGCGGGCGGATGGGTGGGCGTGGCCGTTTCGAAATTTCAAATATTCCCCGCCCTGATGGAAACCCGCCCGGGGGCGCGGGGGAGGGGCGGGCACGCAACCTCATGCCGTCCCCCCCCCCCCCCCCCCGGTCCCTCCCCCTCTGCGGCCTTCCTCTTGCAAGTGGCTGACGTGGGGGCAGCCAACCAGGCGAATGGCAAGGCGTTTGTGCAGGGCATGAAGGAGCCGCACGTCTGGCCCTCTCGTGGGCTAACTCTTGCTCAAGGGGGCCGTGCGCGACAAGCACCGGGCGGCTGGAGCGCATCCACACTCTCTTCTCCACACGCCCCCCTCCCCCGACGCACGCACGCACACACGCACACACGCACACACGCACACACGCGTAGAAGCACGCGCGCCCCTCCTTTTCTCCTTTCCCTTATCCTGCTCTCCCTCTCGCGCGCGCGCGCGCCCGCACGCCCGCACGCTCTCTCTTTCTCTCCGTGTCTCTGTGCATAAGCACGCAGCCGCACGCGTGCATCTGCCTTCTCGGCTTGTCGCTCGGGCCAGGCCTGCCTCCCCCCTGTCGACATCGCGTGCCGCGTTCCAGCGCATTTGCCTCTCGCCAGCCAAGGTCCTCGGTCTTCCTGCTCCCTTCGCCTTCCCCCCCAACCGCCTGCCGCGTGTCGTGTTGGTGACAAACGCACTCCCGGCATGAGCGTGGCCCTCCAGCGCCCACCGGTCGCGGAGGCGGATATCCTCTTGCGCTCACCCCTGCACCACGGCCCCATGTGGCCTCTGCTCCGACAGCACCTCTCCATTCGGACCAAGATGTCTGGTTCAAACGCCGCGCCAGACCCGCCGGGGCCAGTAACACTGGCGACCATGCCCCCTGGCACCGGGCCGATGGCTCTGACTCGGGCCGGTCAGCCCCCCGAGGAGGGCGGCTCCGCATTCGACTCCGGATCCGGCAACAGGTCCGGATCCGAATCTGAGTCTGGGTTCGAGAGCGCCAACAACGGATCCGGCTATGAATCCGGCTCGGGCTCGGGCTCGGGCTCGGGCTCGGGCTCGGGCTCGGGTTCGGGCTCGGGCTCGGGCTCGGGCTCGGGCTCGGGCTCGGGCTCGGGTTCGGGTTCGGACTCGGGCTCGGGCTCGGGCTCCGGGTCGGATTCCGGCTCGGGCTCTGGCTCGGGATCTGGGTCGGAATCCGGATCCGGCAGTGGATCGGGCTCGGACTCCGGCAGTGGATCGGGCTCGGATTCCGGCAGCGGGTCCGGGTCCGGGTCCGGGTCCGAGTCCGGCAGCGGGTCCGGCAGCGGGTCCGGCTCTGGCAGCGGCTCTGGGTCTGGCAGTGGCTATGACTCGCACTCCAGTGGCTATGATGGGTATGACAGCCACTCGGGCTATGATGATGAGGAGGACTCGGGCTCCGGGTCGGACTCCGAGGCGGAGTCCGACACGGATGGCTCCGCCCCGGCGCCCGGTCTGCCGTCCTCCCGGGCCCAGATTCGCAGCAAGTCCAAGAAGTCCAAACGGTCCAAGGCCCTGCTGGCGGACGACCATA